CAACCAGTCTGAAATATACCACTGTTTTCCAACAAGTCGTTGGAAAGCACAAGACGCTCTGTTTGTAGCTTTTTTATGGAATTTATGGGGCCACTCAGAGAGCTAGAAATCCTGTTTAAAAACGCTGAAAATCGAGTATTTACCCTAGTATCGCAAGAAGTGCTCATTTCAAGTAGCTAAAAAACCCTTCTTTTGGACTTCATTCTTGATTTTCGCGAATGTTGGGAAAAACAGGGCTCCATAGATTAGGCTCGTTGTGCTCGTGTGCTCCTAATTGAACCAGTGCTCGAGATTTTTCGAACTGAAAAGGCTGTATCGTCCGAAAATGACATCAAGTGAAACCCCTCTATTTTCAGGGAAATGGGCATCGTAATGATCAGCATCATTGGGAAACACATTTTAATCACTTCTTATGCGATAGCGATACAGTACGTTATTTGATTCCTGAATGATTTAATTCCCAACGATTACCCTCTGGTTACAATTATAGCGAGACTCGCTCGCTAACGAGTGTCCTCAGGTACTTCGATAGGAAGCAGAGTTCAATTTTCGACTTTTTTAGTTTTTTAGGATGCCAGCTTATGAGCTCCGTCTAACAGTATAGGTTCTATATGAGAAGAGTTATAGCAAAAAAAAACGAAAAAAAACGGGGATCTGCGTTCTTTCGTTTTTTTCGAACAATTACGGCGGGTATTGTACTTCCAAGCTATTCATCATATTCTATGGAGCCAATAAGAGCTTTCCAGGATCGTTGGCCATAAGTCAGATACTGTTCCTCAAGCCGATTCAAACCGGAAATCAAAAAGAGTGGTCAGTGAACCATGATTTTCAGCTGAACCTTGCTGAAACCCTGTCATGAAAAGTATCAAAATGATCACGGAATCATGCTCTTTCTGAATATGCTGGTATTTACGGCTTTGGGCACTTGGTTTGAAGTTCATAATTGGACTGGAGGGTTTACGACGCAGCCGTGTCCGCAGGTAACACCTTAGGTTACTGGAGACTCAAACCTCAATTTCCTTGGGAAAAACGTCAAAAAATGAAGGAAAGTGGAAGGTCCATATATCGCTTGGATTCGTCTTGTACAGGGCTATCGAATGGTCTATATTTCAGATCATTTGGACCACTTCTGCAGAAGTTATGGCAAAACGACGGTTTGCGACGGAAAAATCTGTCGCAAACCGTCGATTGACCAGAAATTAGGAGCGGTATTGTACTGCGAACATCTTTCGCAGGAATAATTTGGTTTTGACGTCTCTCGAATAACACATTCTAATTATGATCATATGGTTGTGAGCAGGGTTTTTTGAAGACCTTCGTGTAGCTCTGAGTTGATCGTAGGCCACCATGTTTGTCGTATTTTAAGGGTTCCGAGACGGCATGGCCAGTCGCAAATTGGGACTATGAAACATGCGTCGTTCGGTTGAACTTCGAGAGGCGGTTGACTTTTCATTGGAACCAAATGGAAGCCCATTGCCCTGACGACGCATCTTCATATTTTCGTTCCCGGAAAGTCCCAAGAATGGTCAGGAAATCCATAAGAGCGCACTTATGCTAACGAGATTTTCCCTGGTGTGTTCAGATGCATTTGAAACCTAGTCATGGGTCCCTTGTATAGGCCTCTTAGATGCACTACTTGCACAGTATTTCAGGGAGATGTGGTGATGTTTACGCGGAAATCAAAAGGATCCCTGCAACTGTGGACAGTTGTCACTTTTAGGCTCAGCGGTTTGAACTCACTCGCCTCTGTAAGCCAGTCAAATTTTGTCATCGTCAACCTCTCTCGCCTATAAGATGTCCGTAAAAAACTGAAGGAAAGTGGAAGGTCCATATATCGCTGCATTCGCCTTGTACAGGGCTATCGAGTGGTCTATATTTCAGATCATTTGGACCACTTCTGCAGAAGTTATGGCAAAACGACGGTTTGCGACGGAAAAATCTGTCGCAAACCGTCGATTGACCAAAAATTAGGAGCGGTATTGTACTTCATTTATACGTGGCGGCAGCTGCGCTTCTGGAGGGATATTGCACTTTCAGGACAGCCAAAACCATGACTTCGTCCAGTAAACGACAACATTTGCATCAAATGGAAATATCCTGAAAACAACGCATCCTACGCTATGCACAAGTGAAGTACGCAGCCACCCCAACTCCATCGCTGGGATGGCAGTGCAATTGACGTTCCAACCCCTTGCAATGCGTACGCACATGGAGCAATAAATGACTACCACAGCGGACAACGGACACTAATTTATCAAACCATATGGGTGAGAAAAATGGATAGGAATTGAGAAAATAAGACGAGATAAAGTTTCCACCGAATAAGGAAGAATTTCAAAAAAACTGAGATCTAAAAAAACTTTCTAAAAAAACTTCATGGATTCCTACTCAGAAAAAATGAAAAAAGAAAAAAATTGACGACAGAGCATGTGTCTCTAATCAGTTGGCGAAACACTTCGTTATATTGAACATTCTACGGTGCTCAGTTTCCCGGAATTCTAGAAAAGCTTTTTTTCACGAATCAGGAAGGAACTTCCAAAAAATCAGAGTCCCCAGATCCGACCCTCATCCTCCTGACCATGTTCTTCACAACTGATTGTGAAGAACAGTGTGAGAGGGATAGAGGATTCCAGAAAAAAATGTAGCCAAACCTGGGAACGTATTTGCTGTGTCCAGCCTCATTGTAGTAGACGCAGATACGTTCGAGCTGAAGGTCTGAATCCCCAACGTATTGTCCAGTGGGATCGATGCCATGCTCGTCCGAAATCACTTCCCAGAACTGAAATTCCAAGAGACAATCATGGGTTCTATTTTTGACATAGAAGTGATAACGTCGCGATCAGAAGTCAAGGTACAAGATTATAATATTAGGGAAACACGCGGATTCAGCACTCCCGGGATTCGCGCGTGGAATCAAATGTTCTGGAGTGTGAACGCACGCAATTGAGCATACCTGAGATCGGTGTGAGATCAATAGGCTTTCGTTCTTTACTTGGAGCCGGATTCTGCGTAGGCGAAAACCGAGCGGTCTTGCAGGTGCACTCAGCACGCTTAGCAGTCAATTTTACGCGCGGTTTGAATACTGTAGCCCGCCTGTTTTCATAAACTTATCAACTGATAGTCAGTCATGTGTTCTCAGTTTCGTGTCACTAGCTAGCCTTTTACTAGGTAGTAGTAGGTACAGAGAAATCTCGGGATACGCTACTATCTAATCTTGAGGGTAACACCAAAATTTTCATAGAAAAGAACGCTCCTGTTGCTTGCATTTCCGCTCGATAATCGAATGAGCCTTGTAGCCAAAGAGTCTCCTCAGAAAAAAATGCTTTTTAGGATTATAAGGGTAATTTCAGCTTACCACCAGCTGTTTACCAGCAATTGACCCCTTAAGTATGAAAGATGTGCTTGGCGTGGCCTTTCTTTAGCATCGAACAAACGGATTTTAGCACCGGATTCGGCAACGCTTGTTGTTGTCCCCATTTTTGAACATGTCCATACATAAGGAAGTTAAGGTTCGTAGCAGCGAAAGCGACGACGGCTGTGAAAGCCCAAGCGAAAGATAGGCAGGATTAGAGTGAGAGGAGAGCGGGAGAATACGTAGCCGTTGCAGGTACGCCCCTTCTCGCCTTTCGGTATGGGCGATGTGCAGCTCAGGGGTTTTTTTTTAGTATCAATACCTGCTGAAAAATGACGTTTCATCAAACACAAGGAGCTTATATTTGTGGTTGGAAAAAATGTTTAAATCGATCTAAAATATTTTCACACCTTCTTTGACCATTTATGATTGAATTTGATACCATCGCTGGCCCTAGTTTTATGCGATCATTGGGTACATCACTGTGATTGCGTAGCACATGAAATTTCATGTTTGCACTCCGGGTTTTCCTAGAGCTGCACTACCTCCCCTTGCTTCGCCGTCCCATTCTTCGTTAATTCAAAATTGAGGAAAGAATGAAAAATGCTCGCGACTCTCTACCCATACGATCATCCTGAATGGTCAGATTTCCTGCAAGCCGTTTGAAACAAACAGTCGTGCTAAAAGACACATTCCGCGTTCATTGTATGAGCGAAGAGTCTCGAGAGCATTCTGCTTCCCACAACTCCTTCATTTCATCCATTAATGAACCCTAAAGTCGGTAGTAGATAAGTCCGGCGATGTCGCAATCGCAGCTCGCGCGAACACTATATGCGGGACAAAGGAAGCTGAAACCAGTGGTTATCTTCAAAACAGCTGATTCCAAAGGTCCAAAAGATGTAACCATAATGAGTAGTGAGGCGCATGATCGAGAAAATGGTAGGAGATTGGGTAAAAGAAGTCTGAAACAATAAACAGAATAAGGAGTTCTACAAAAAAGAAACGTTTGAAGGAGGGCTCAACGTAAACTTGAAAAAAAAAAACAAAATGAAGGTCGTGGAAAAAAGCAAAATGCAGTCGATTCCTGGAAAAGGATTTAAATTCACGATAAGACTTCTATTTTGTGATTCTCTCGTTGATGCTCCTACGTCTCATATGCGCGGAAATAATTGAACGGGACCTGATGGCACCCTATTTTTTATATAACCAATATTATCATTTACTTCATTCGCGGATATTGTATTGAAAATTTTTTTCTCATAATTGTCTTCGAAATCAACAGACTAAGACTAGACAGAACTCTTCGGAGTTGTTCGTTGAACTTTCGTCTCCTGTTATTGTTTGCTCCTAACCTCTGTAACGCACTCCCCCTCATAATCCTACGAGAACACAACCTCTGCTGACCTTCTCGTTTGGTACATTCTATAAAAAAAACGCTGCCTCACGAGCACTTTTTTCTGAAACTAACAACTGATTTTAACTTACAGCGTCCCGTCTGGTGCTCGCAAGCGCGGCTATCGCGACGTCGCGCGGACTTTTGTAATGACGGACCTATCTATAGGACTTTAGGATGATATTCGGCGTGCAGACGAGGAAGGCACAATTATTAGGGGCATATATCCAATTATCGCAAAGTTCGCCTTTGAGAATAGGCTAATTTGCTTCCAATTAGCCATTTATTTTCCGTGAACCGGTATAAGGTCGACCGCTTGCAACCCATCACTTACTTGACATCCGTTGGTTCGGTTCATTATTACTTGGCGATATCGCTTCCAATAACGCCCATTCCTGAGATTTTCTATGGAAGCAAAATTCACGACGCATCCAGAAATAGCTCCATCGAGGCCGAAAGCTCTATTCTTTTTCTCTCTCTCTCTCTAACTTCTACTCTACTGAATAAGAAATCGTTAACATGGGAAAGTTTTCACGCCCCACACAGGGATCTGAAGCGAGCATCGAAGGCTAACATAGATACTTACGGGCTCATTTAATCCAGAACTATACGGTCGCGGTTAAATCCATTACATTTACAGCAAAGTGAACAAGTTTGAGTGAAAACGCCTCGAGAAGAAACATCAAGGGTAAAGCTGAGGTTTCGATCTCAAGAAGAAGCATAGATATTTTTGAGCTCTTATAAACTTTTATTATTGAGCGTGGGCTTCGAACTAACAGCCTGTAATTAGGCACAACTCTACGTCCGAGGCCATCCATTAATGCATAAGCATAATGCTCAGCAACAAGTAAAAGACTAAACAAGGTGAGTGTCATGGGTTTTCTACGCCGTAATTCATCATGCAAAGAGGTCTACAACAAAGATTGACGCCTGAATTCCCTCGAGAAGTACCTCATTGAAAGCTTCCAACCAGATAAATGGCCCCAATCAATAGAATAACTAGATTGAGTTTTGGGTTGCATGGAACGCGCCCATTCTAATCAGGAACGAGCCCAATTTGAGGGACCAAAAAAGGGTCCTATAGTGTTTATTTCAGATGTCGGAGGTCACTCTCATGAGAAACTCCAGTTCTATTCTTTGAAATAGGGCCCACACAAGTTGAAAGGGTACTGATGCGAAAATGGTTCCTGAAATCTGACCCTGACCATTGTTAACGATTATTGTTCTACAAGTTAGTACACTCGGGTTATGATAAAATTTAAGAGGAATGGACTCTGTTCTTTTCATAGGATACCTCTTGTTTTTGTGCAATTCAAAGCGATAATACTTACTTTGGATCCGATCTGGTTGCCACATTGCCCGGCTTGGATGTGAACGATCTCGCGCATGGTGTCACACACAACTGAGACAGGCCGTCTCTCGCCGTCACTGGCCCTCGTCCATGAATTTTTGAGCCTCAAGTGTGGCATGCCTGCGTCTCCGCATGCAGTGCACCGCCTTTAGCAAAAGCGAAGATGAGTCCCGCAAACTGGAGTCGGAACAACTCTGCACGCTCATCACTATGTATGCTATACAACCGGACTCTAGTCGTGTCGTTCAGTCATTTTCAAAGGGAGCAGCTGGATGAGCATATGGCCTAAACGGGTCCTCTTCTCGGTTCAACGTCGTCGACAACGTCTTCTCATGGATTCTGTGAATACGCAATAGCTACATTCATATTGAAGTGAGCATACATGCAAAAGTGAATGAGGTTCATCACGCACGCAACACCCTGACCCCATTCTTTCTGGAACAAACTGAAGGAAACCTCATATTCCCAAGAAAACAAAGAACTGTTCGGAAGTGGACCCAAACAATTGTCCCCTCCAGATTTCCCAGTTTGAGGTATACTATTAGTCGTTAACTATTACCGAGTCTACGCAATAGGGAAATAAATTAAATAAAGAAGAATAGCGGCATCACTTTTGCTCCCGTAGGAACTGATTCCATAGATCTTAAAGACAGTCCCTGCACTCGCGCAGATTGTGAGCGTCCTTTCACGTACAAGTAGTCTGGTCCCCAATCTCTAAGATTAACCTCGTTTTGCGGCTCTAGAAAAGGTAACGAAAGCGCTCTGCCCTAATAAGTGTTACTTCTGATGATTTCCTAAATTCCCGCCCACCGAAACTAGAGGGCAATTTTCGCCCGAATTCAGTTGTTACTCCTAGTTTTTCGTTTTTTTTCCACTAGTTTGCAGTACATATTAGCATCGGCTGACGCGATGAAACGAAATTGAGCCAGAGGCGGCTGGATTCGTTTTCGCTGGCATAAAACGATATATGTTCTGGAGCGCATCGCTCTACTCAACGGTTTTTTTTCTATGAGCCCCCACCAGCGTTCGTTTGATGATCCGCGATCATCATTTGATGCGCAGCCGCTTTGGTTGGGAATGGTAGTCCTGTTCGTAGGAATTGGCGATGTACTACTTTCACAACTCAATAATGCGTGAATAAAGCTCGCGACGAGGCCACGGTCCCGCCCACTGCCCACAGCAACGCCCAACTTTCGTTTGTTCCGCTACTACATAGCTTTCTTATTTTCCAATCGTGAGAGTGAGGTGATAAGGGGAAAGAGCTGTGGTACTAACAAGTGAGAGCTCGTCCGTCTTGGCTCATTCTTCGTCCTACATATGCACGTAAAGGTATAGGGAATTCCGGCGAGTTTTTTCTGCTTTTTTGCTACTGCTTTAATTACCACCCCTTCTCTAATATTTGAGTCGCACAAACCACCACTACTGAACGGTGGGCGTAATCTCTAAATAACAGCCACTCCCATAGAAGAGAGCGGGGAAGCGTTTTCCAGATTGCCTTTTTTCCGAAGCTATCCTCATAGAAGCAAACAAACCACAATAAATTCTGTCAGTCACTAGAGAGCAGCAATGGTCAAATAGGAGAGCTCACAGGACAGACTAGAGTCCTCCTCTGTGAAACTGTTTCAGAGGTCTAGCCTCAAATGGGCCTAGAATACAAAATGACATCAAGAAGCGATAGGTCGTCTTGGATGCCTATAAGATGAAGTTGAAACGGAGCCTCCACATTCATTTCAACTAATCCCATCGGCGACCAAGGCATTGTTTTAAGTTGTGCAGAAATACGTAAATCCTGCCCCTTGAGAGGATGGCTAATGCCGTTTAGACTCCAGGCAATTTTGGCACCGAGCTCATTTTGAAAGTGCCATGATCACCAAAATCGCTGAAACTTGTATATGGGGGTGATTCGACATCTTGATCACGAATATGATATTTGATTTTGGCGCTGGCGCTAATGGATGACACTACGATTATCCTACGCTCAACTCAGCGCGCTTGAGCCCAGGAAGGTAATCGTAGTGTCCTCTCTTGGCACCAGCGCCAAGAAGAGGTGTCATACTCGTAATCAGGATGTTGAGTTACCCCTATATACAAGTTTTAGCGAATTTGGTGACCTTGGCACTTTTAAATGAACTCTGTGCCAAAATTGCGTGGAGTCCAAACGGCATTAGCCTGACTAGTGAGAGGATTCTGAACGGAACTGGCGATAGTGCGGCTTCGACGTACTCTCGCTTTGCTTGATTTGGTTCCAAGAAGCGACAAATATTATCCAAATTATAAGCATGCAGTACTGGGGGTACTAGTACTACAATAATCAAAATTACGTAAAAAGTGTAAATCATTGAACCGTATTGAGTCAGTGCACAGAGCTCTTGGAGAAGTAT